TGCAGGGAGACGAACCCGGGATGGTGAAGGGGGACAGTGTGAGAAATGCCAGGGAAGCTGTTGGGGTAGGCCCCGGAGATCTCCACGGCCTCGTTCCCAGAAGCTCTGGATACGTTTCCACAGCCAAGGAGAACTAAGTTGTTAGGAGGAAGTCAGACTTGATCAACCTAGTGCTGGTTCTGAAGACGGAGGAAGAGGCCACAAGCCAAGGAATGCGGGCAGCCTCTAGCAGTTGGAAAAGTCCAGGATATCTGATTCTCCCTGCTAGAGCTTCCAGGAGGAACGCAGCCCTGCGGACACCTTGATTTTAGCCCGTGAGACCTGTCCTGTTGGGTTTCTCTCACCTGGGGCGTTGCAAGATAATAAACGTGTGATGTTAGACGCCACTAAGTTGGTGGTAATTTGTCACAGCAGCCACAGCAAACTGACACACGCTGCAGACACACGGTGATGCCACATGTGTTCTCGGGGAGGAGGCTGGGACTGTGGGCGAATAAGATGATGAGGGGTCTGAGCTCAGTGTGAGCGCTGGGACAGCCCCTCAGGGACCAGGAGGGAGATGACGTGGGCTCCGTGCAGGTGCTTGAGTCTCAAGGATGATTCTTTGCAGGGCTGTGTGTTGGCCAAGGAGACCTAAGAAGAGATGGTGAGTGTTTCTTCCTTGAACCTTCCCTGATCCTCCACCCCAGAGGCTCCACTTTCCCTTCTTCCTTCTTTAAACGGGCTTCCTGAGAGCAGGTGAGTCGACCACATCCAGTCCTGAGATCTGCTTCCTTCCAGAGTCACCTCCCAAGCCCTCCCTGAGTGCCTGGCCCAGCTCGGTGGCACTTGCCCGCAGTAACGTGACCCTGCGATGCTCGACTCCTACCAAGGATGTAAACTTTGCTCTCAGAAAGGGAGGAAAGGTCTTGGAGCTCTTGCAATCACCTGATTCCACAGAGGGCCAGGCGGAATTTCACCTGACGGATCTAAAAAGCACTAATGCTGGAGAGTACACCTGTGAATACTACAGAAAAGGCCGTCCCCACATAAGTTCACAGCCCAGTGATGCCCTGCAACTACTGGTGACAGGTGAGGAGGGGGTGCCTCAGAATGACGTGTGATCTCCCTCGGGACAGGGACGAGGGAGGAGCCAGAGGAAGGGGGGCGGGGAGTCCCCATCTCCAGCGTAGTTGGGGAGGGGGAGACGGAGAAAGTCAGGCAGAGAACTGTTGCCTTGGTTTTACGCAGGGCTTGTAGGAGGGAGCAGCTCCTTCCTGGGGTCAGAGTAGAAAGAGGCTGAGCTCAGGTACCTGTCATTCCCACACTCCCCGAGAACCTCCTTCCAGGAGAACAGGGGAGTGGGGGACCCAAGGCTTCTCCCCGTGATCTCAGAGCCCTCCTTCTCTTACAGGGTATTTTTCTAAACCTTCCCTCCAAACCCACCAAAGGGGTGTTGTGACTGAAGGAGCAGAGGTGACCCTGCAGTGCCAGAGGCCAGACACTGAAATTGTGGCTGTAATGTTTGCCCTACTGAAGGCAGGAACGCCAATGCCCGTGCAGCGCCGGAGTCCAGCAGGGAAGGAGACAGACTTCTCCCTTCAGAATGTGAGCGTCGGTGACACAGGGAACTACAGCTGTGTGTACTACCAGGCAAGGGCCCCTTTCTTGGCCTCCCACCCCAGTAATCACCTTGCGATCCGGGTCACAGGTAAGATTTTTACCAGCGGGAGAACCAGGGCTGGATAATCTTCCTGCCACCTGAGGGAGTGGACTGGAGGGAGGTTCTGTCCCTCCAAGACTCTGGAGCTTGGAAAAATCACTTGAGCAGGATGGCTTTAGGGCCAGGATCCTGCAGAACAGTGGAGCAGATCTTGTTTCAAGAGCCAATGCAGGTGGTGGAGAACCACATAAAAGGAGGCTGGGCAGGGGCTTCCCACCATGGATGATCGGATGCGCTCTGAGGGGTCCAGGCTTGGTGTGTGTGGGGTGCACTTGTAATACCTGACCCCCATTAGGAAAATAAGATACAACCACAAAGTCATTGCACATGTCCTGGGTGGGGCACCAACTCGTTTAGACTGAAGTGTGAACGACACCTCTGGAAGTTATGCAGAAAGAGGGTCCAGTAAGAAGACAAAGGAGGAGGGAGACGTGTCATCAAAACTGGGTCCCATCAAAGGGCCCGGGAAGCGAATACCTTCCTACAGCACTCAGAGACTTGCAGGAAGTTCTGTGCTTCATTTTCATTCATGCTCTACCACTCCTGCCTTTCAGCTTGGCCCAGTCAAGCTTTCCCCTTCCTTCCTCCGTCCCTCTCTCCTTTCCTTCATTTTTGAAAGAGGTCATTTTTAAAAACTGCAGTAACCACACATAATATAAAATCTACCATCGTAACCATTTTAAGTGTACGTTTCAGTAGTGTTAAGTACATTCACATGGTTGTACAATCATTGTCACCCTCCAACTCCAGAGACTTCTTCATCTTGCAAAACTCCATTAAACCACACATCGCCCTCGCCCTCCCCCAGCCCTGGCAACCACCATGCTGTCTTCCGTCTCTAGAACTCTGACCACAGATACTTTACGGAAGTGGAATCACACTTCTGTGTGGCTTATTTGTCCTTCTGTGACTGGCTTATTTCATCCAGCATCACGTCCTCAAGGCTCACTCAGGGAGCATCTGTGAAACGGGGCTGTGGCGGGGGGCGGGGTCAGCGTGCACACCTAACCCACACAACTTTTGTGAGAACTAAAGATAACGGAAGTAATCAATTACAACCCACAGTTCTGATAACAGTATTTGAATTACTCAAAATACTTGAGTCCAAGTGACAAAAATCTTCATTCAAGCAGCCTAGAAAGAGTAGGGGAAATACATGTACATATATATTGGCCCATGGAGTTAAAGGGATCACTCGGAGGTTCCTAACCTGGCACTACTGTCATTTTTGAGCTGGATAATTTTATCTTTGGGAGGGGAGAGAAAAATGCATCCCAGGAGGGGAGGGTGCAGCTCAGTGGGAGACTGTGTGCTTAGCAGGCACGAGGGCCTGGGTTCAATGCCCAGCAGCCCCGTTAAAAATCAATCAATCAATCTAATTACCCACCCCCTCCTGCCAAATAAAATAAAAACATTATCATTTGGGCTATTAAAACAAAATACCACAGGCTGGTGGCTTATAAAAAACAGAATTTTTTCTCTCACTGCTCTGGAGGCTGGACGTCTGTGTTCAGGGTGCCAGCGTGGTGGGGTGAGGGCCTCTTCTGGGTTACAAACTTCTCCTGTGTCTTCACATGGTGGAAGGGGACAAGGGAGCTCTCTGGGGTCTCTTTTACACACTATTGCATATAAAATAGATAAACAACAAGGACCTACCGTATAACACAGGGAACTATATTCAGTATCTTGTAATAACCTGTAACGGGAAAAAATTTAAAGCTAGCACAACATTGTACATCAACTCTGCTTCAACAAATTGTTTTTAATGTGATGAATAAATGCAAAGTTTCAGACAGGAAAAAAAACCCCACCAAAGTCCTAATGGAACATG